AGCAACCACCAGACCCTCTAACGGAGCCAGATCTACTGCGATTTACACTAGGACAGCATCTGTGTGTGTGTGTGTGTGTTTTGTCTCGGTGCGTGTGGTCTCTGTGTGTGTCTCTGTGTGTGTGATCTCTGTGTGGTGTTGTCTCTGTGTGTGTGTCGGTGTTGTCTCGGTGTGTGTGGTCTCTGTGTGTGTGATCTCTGTGTGTGTGGTCTCTGTGGGTGTTGTCTCGGTGTGTGTGGAACGAGTAGCGGGAGGAGCGGGAGAAGCGAAGCGAAGCGGGAGAAGCGGGATGAGACATAGAAAAGAAGAACCCCACAATAAGATGTGGGGAAAAAAAGAGAAGCAATGGCCTCCAACCTACTAGCGATGGCCTCCAACCAAAACTAACCGCACCTCCTTCCTGCCATGAAGCGCAGCCAATGTCGCGGGTGTGTTGGAATCAACCTTCCAAGAGGCTAGGTTCGGGGCTCCTGGCCTTATTACTAGGAACAAGAAGCGAACGTAGAAAAAAGTGCCTTACTAGTAGTAACAATAAGCAATATATAAATAGAATTCAATTAGAATCTAATAAAATTACAAGCAAGGGAATCTACTAGGACCTTTTCCCGCGCGCGCGCGCGCGCGCAAGACGCTTCTAGGGGTTCCTGGCCTTACTACTAGGAGCAATGGCCTTACTACTAGGAACAAGAAGCTATAAAATCTAATTAAAATTACTAGCAAAGCGATCCCACAAGACTCACTGCGCTCACCGCCTTGCTGACTTCAGAAGGGTTACTCCCAAAGTCCAGCAAGGCTGAAACCTCGGCCACCCCCTCAACGGATTTGTACACGTGCCATCTCCAACCTAATAGCAATGGCATCCAATCCAATAGCAATGGCCTCCAACCCAAGAGCAATGGCATCCAACCTAGTAGCGATGGCCTCTAAGCTAATAGCAATGGCCTCCAACGTTCTAGCAGTGGCCTCCAAGCTAATAGCAATGGCAATGGCCTCCAAGCTAGTAGCAACATTTACACATCGCTAGGCTGAGATTTATCGCATCAAAACGGCGTCAAGGGTACTTCATAAGCAACGTCAACACCCCGAAAAACGACCGTGACAACGCATATCGCACCGTGACGCAAACGAGCTATAAATCTGACATGTCATCCATACCTCCTTCAGTTGTTTAGCAACTTCACGCGAACACAGCTAGCTCTACCCCATACCCCCAGTGTTAACTTTTTTGTCTTTAAGCATGCATTCCGGAAAAAAACACAAGGCATTGAAACCGCAACTCTATTGTAAAAGCTGTAAACAAACGTTTGTAAACAACTTGGGATCCCACGACGGAAACGCCGCTGCTTGATGCCTGGGATGGACTATGCGAAAACATTTGGAGCACGGTTGTTCCATCTATCCCCACGAAATGGCCTCCAACCATCGAATATCAACAAGTTTGGAGCTACTAGTAGCAAGGTGCATCGCTACTAGGAGCAAGAATGCTACTAGGGGCTCCAGGCATCGC